GGGGGGGGGGGGGGGGGGCACATGCCCCCCACTCCCCTCCTACCGGTTGCCTGTGTCTAATTGTATTTGGCCCCTCTGAGAAACTTCTGATAACTTCCATAGGGAAAAACAAGCAAGTCCAAAGATTATGAGGGGGAAAAGGCTTTTTATTGAGTTTTTACTGTTAAATGCAGAGGCCCTTTGCAAGCAAAGAGGTGTGGAAAAAAGGATAGTGTTGAGGTTCTGGTTTGGTACTGAGTGAAAAGAAAGAGTACTAAGTGCTGAATTATCAGAACCATTCCAGCAGCACTTTGTATTCTGTAGTAATCTTTCATGCAAGCATTGACCAGGTCTTAGGCTAGGGCTTTAAAACAAAGAAAAGGTATGGGGAAGCGGGGAGGAGTCCTTCATTTTTAAAGAATTATTTTTCATTTTTACAAGACATTCTGTTTTAATGGTAATTCAAATGCTAGTCCGTATAATATATACTTAAATGAAGTCACAGTAGTCTGGCTGAAATTACATAAGTGGGTATAGCCAATGGGTCGTGGGTTTCTGTATAGCTGCATTGGGCAATAAATAATACAGACTTAAATCAGACTTCAACTAATGTCTTTTCATTCTCTAGATCCAAAGAGGTTGGACTTTGCAAAACTATTATCATCACTCTTCAGTCCTATTTTGGCTGTCAGTTTAAAACATAGTGGCACATTACTCGTTTTCTATTGCTATTATTGTAGATCCAAATAAGACACTAAAAAGAATAAATCCAAAAATGAAAAGGGAACAATGAGAGTCTTCCTTTCAAACAGTCCATCTCTGGGTGCTACTACAGGCAAAGAGCAAAACATAGGGGTAGAGGGTAGGCTGAGCATTAAAGGCAGTGTGTTTTAAAGTGTTCCCAACACCAAATAAGTGTTTCCATTCTTGGGTTCTGTCTACGTGGGATTAAAACCATAAAATACTTAATTGAATCTCAGTCTGAATGTGGCTCCAGCCAAATGGGGTTCAGTTGAGTTAGCCAGTGTGAACAGAGCCAAGTCATGCAAAAACACAGTTTCCAAAGTGCTTACTATTCTGTATTAGCAGATATTTGACAGTTAAAGCCACTCCTGTTCTCTCATTTGAATTTCTTCTCTCCTGTTCACTGGAAGGGGAAAAATGTTCCTGCCTACATTCCTATTTATTGCTTTGAGATGTTTTTAGCTATAATCATAGAATCATATCATAGAAGTAGGGTTGGAAGGGACCTTCTAGATCTTCAAGTCCGACCCCCTCCCTGGGCAGGAGAAAAAACTGGGCTCAAATGATTCCAGCCAGGTAGGCATCAAGCCCCCTCTTAAAGACCCCCAGGGTAGGAGCCAGCACCACTTCCCTTGGAAGTTGGTTCCAGATCCTAGC